CCTTCCTCCCCCTCCCCCGCCCCACCGCCGGCAGCACTGTCGCCCCGCTCGGTCCCGGCTCCCCAGCGACTTCTAATCTCAGATGGGGTTCCTCTCCCTCCTAACTCCCACCCTGAGGTCCGGACCCACCGGCTGCTCCTCCCAGCAAAACGGCCGGATCCAGGCAGACATCCAGGGGCGGGGAGGCGCTCGCCCCGGCGGCTGCAAAGTCAGCTAGCGGCTGTAGCGCCCCGTTATTTCGGCAGGAAGGGGCAGGCCGGGTGAAGGAACGTGCCGACGAGGGTTCTCCAAAGGGGTCCCCAGTCCTTACCAGCACTGGAGGTGGAAGGCGGCCGGGCAATGGTCGCAGCACAGAAGATCTCCACCTTCCTTGCAGCTATCGCAGCTGTCGTGGTTGGTGGCCCTGCCGCTTCTCCGGGGCTCCTTCTCGGGCTTCCGACTCCGCTTTTCTACCTCGTCCGACTTGGGGGGAGCCAGCAGAGCTTGGATTTGCTGCACACACATACAAACGGCATGTGTGCATACTCGGAGCTCCCGGGCGAGCCTCTGCCCCCCCGGCGCAGCTTCTCCGTCACCCACCCCTCTCCCCCCTTTTGTCCTTTTGCCTCCCATCCAGGCTGCTCCCAGAACCTCTCAGCCCCCGGAACCAGGGGGAGCGCGCCCTAATCGCGTTCCAGCAGCACAACGAGAACAGCTTCTTCTCAATGGGGAGGATCAGGGTAGGGGGATGGGGCGAGGGTGCGCGGTTCCCTTCTCGCCACTTCCTTGTATGGACAGTGGGGGACTCCAAAGCCCGGCTCGGGAGAGGCCCGAAGCCCGGTACCTGGACGCGCTGGGGGAAGCACAAAGGGGCCGACAAGAAGGGGGTGGGGAGGCCCACCGGTGCAACGAGATGGAGTGGGCTGGAACCTCGAGAAAGCGAATCGAGGGAGGCAGGTAGCTGAAACTGCTGCAAACGTCCTCGGAGACTGAGCTCAGGCTCCCAAATTGCAAAGATGGGAGGAAAACACTGGGTAAGGAAGACCCCCCCCCCCCCGCCAACCCAGGCCCTCTGGCGCTTCGAGCTTAGGGCCGGCTTTGTGGGGCGGAGGGCGGAGGTTCGCTCCCGGCGCTGGGGGAAGGGTGTGAGGAGGGCCACTCTTACCTCCATCAGCCCCCCCGACGTGTCCAAGTCGTACACGATCGTCTTGGTCTCCATTTTCTCCCACATTCATCCACCTCCCGGACTGGGCGCTCTCTGCTCCGGCCCCCCCAACCCCGGGGGGAGGGGGGAAACGGGGGAAGGAGGCGCTCTTGACCCCGGCTCCCTTTCTTTTTTTCCAACACGGGTCCCGACTTCTTCGCCCTGGCTCCCCCCCACCCCCCGGCCCCCAGTCCCTGGGACGGCAGCGTCCTCCCCACGGCCGTGAGGGGGGAACGGCCCCTCAGCCCGGCCAGGCGGCTGGTTGCACAGTGGGTCCCGGCTCCGGGGGTCAGGCCTTGGCGGGGCCTAGTCCCACAAGCTAAAGCCGGTGCTGGCGGCCGCTTGTTCGGCCAGGAAGGCTGGCGGGCGCTGCCATCCCGGGATTGGGGGGATCGGTGGGGGGGTGAGAGGTTAGGTGAGGTTGTGGTACGTGAGGTGACTGGGGGGAGGGTGATGGGGGGGTGGTCCCCGGGCTCCGCCTCTCGCCGCCGCCGCCGTCTGCGTCCCGGCTGCCGCGCACTTGGCGCAAACTTACCGCGAGCGCCCGCAAAGCCACCCGCGCAGGCGCCCCGGATCGCCGCTCGCCGCGCGCAACCGCAGTGACAGCCGGCGGCCGGGCTCGCGCGCAGCCGCGGTGAGGGAGTACCCCCCAGCGCGCAGCCGCGCTGGCATTCGCCTGGAACCCTGAAGCCCCGCCTTTCTGCCCTGCGCCCGCGTACTGAGCTAAAAGGGCGGGACCTGCAGCCTCGCGCAGGCGCCTGGAAAAGCTCGTAGGGGTCATGGCGCAGCCGCAGAAACCTGAGGACGCTTCATCCATCGGTGTTTGTGTGTAGAACTAGAGGACTCCGTTCGCGCGCAGGCGTGTTGGGTGTGCTCCCCTCCCGCCCCTTAACAACACAGCCGGCTCCCGCGCAGGCGTATTGACACCTGTAGGGCCGCGCAAGAAAGCTGCTTCTTTCGCCATTTTGGTAATGGGATAGGGCTACCAAGCTCTTGGAGTCCCCAGGCACAAGCAGGAAGGAGCAAAGTGTGGTGTTGGACGGAGCTGGTTGCCTCTCGATAACGGCAATATTAATAGGACGTTGTACTGGACCATTTGGTTCAACATCAGGTGTGGCCGGGCGAAGCCGCCATATTGGTAAAGAGAAAAGCCATTTCGGGGAGGAAGAAAACGACGCTTTTGGTGGCGGGTTGGGTGGCTACTGGGTTCCCACTTTCCTCCAGCTCCTGAGAGTTAACTTTAACCCGAACATCTCTGTTTTGAGTGGTGATGGCACTGTGCAAAGTTCTGCCTACCGGTTATTACCCTTTCTTGACATTGTCCCTGCGAAGTGCTTTTCAAAAAGAACCCAAAGGCCGAGAATTCGTAATCTTGACCACGCCCAGCTACCTGCCTACATTGGACTCCAACTCCCAGTTTGCAATGCGCCAGGGGTTCAAAGGGCGAACGGAAGCCTATAGCTCTTTGGGAACAAGAATCGCGACGGGTCTGTTGGATTGTGGGAGTCGTAGTTCCCTGGGCATGTGATGCAGCGTGTGATAGGATAGACTGGGAGTAATTAGGCTGCCGAAAAGGGAGACTTGAGCTGCCGCAGTGCGTACTGGGATTTGTAGTCTAAGGCTTTCATTTCGAATTCTGGGCAGGGATTCATGTTTCTCTCCTGGGGCCCACCCTCCCCTTGTTGTCCCCTCAGATACTGCTCGGACTGTGGATGAAGCAGTGGAGGAGAAAGCCGCATGGTTGTGCCAGTTGATACAAGGGATTTAATTGACATTGTTTGCATGTATTTGTCCTGCCCATTTTTAATGTTATGTCACATTGCATTCTCAAGGTTGTAGAAGAGGAAAGGATGTAGAGACCATCCGATTGAATCTCTTAATTTCTAGATGCAGAGAAGAGCAATGATTTTCTTAGGTTACATAGTGAATTTATGGCAGACCTAAGAATGAAACTATTTCTTGATTCACAGGCTAGTTACTGTCTACTGACCGAGGAATGGTTGCTGTTCCTTCTTTTTGGACGATACAGAGGATAAATTAGGGAGGGTAGGGTAGGGATGGCAGTGTGTGGGATCTTGGCCTTTTTTTCTTTTTTTGATGACTCTGTTGGCCCCAGTAGACTGTATCGGTTATGAGCTAGAAGTGTGACCTTCGGAGACGTGAGGACTGAACTAGATTGCTTGTATGGAAGAGACCAGAGCTTGTCCCTCCTGGGGCTGAACTTCATGCCACAGGCCCTTGGAAGTTGCAACCTCATGTGCCCTTTCTCATTGGCTTCCTTCCTACTTCTGAGAGGCCAGCTGTGCTGCTGTGTCAGCCTGAAGGCATTATGGAGCAGAGAAGGAAGTCACTGGCACATACTCAGCGAGCAAAGTTTTGCTTTGATCAACACCATCAGTTGCAGCTGAGAACAGGAATAGGGGTGGCTAGTGATGGAAATAAGACTAGGCTGTGTTGACAAATGCCCTGGGAGCTAATCACACCACACACCTTCCTGTTGGAGCTTGGAGGGTGAGGTCAGCTCAGTGGGAGGCAGGAGTTGGCGCCACCTTGGAGAGCTCCAGCCCCGAAAGTTCAAGAGGAATTGGGGAGAGCAGGTGGCTTACTGATGCCTTTGGAGGCGACCTCTTGTGGCTGATTTAGGCATTATGCTCTGCCGGAAGTGGCGCTTCTCCTCCTGCAAAGTGGCTTGTGTTGGAGCGGGGGTTGGGCAGGACTTGGGGTCAGTGCTTCCCAGCTGCAAGACTATAGAAGCAGAAGGTGCTAATTGCTACTAATATTTCTTTATTTTATTTTTACTTTTTTTTGTGTACCGGGGATCAAACTCGGGGCCTTGCGCTTGTGAGGCAGGCGGTGGAACCACTGAGCTAAATCCCCGGCCCTCTTTGTTTCTTTTTTGATATTGAGGATTGAATGCATGGGTGCCGTACCACTAAGCTATATCCCTAGTCTTTTTTATTTTTAAAACATTTTTATTTTATTTATTTTTAGACAGGGTCTCACTAAATTACCCAGGCTGGTAACCAATTTGCAAGCCTCCTTCCTCAGCCTCCTGAGTAACTAAGATTACAGGCATACAACACCATGCACAGTTTAGTGCTCTAATTTTTTTTTTTTTTTTGGTACTGGGGATTGAACTCAGGTCCTTGAGCTTTCGAGGCAGGCCCCAGAACCACTGAGCTAAATCCCTGGCCCTCAGTGCTCTAATTTTTATCAGGGATTTTTGTCATCTGGCTTCTGAGTTCCCATAACTCCATTTCCTGCCTTTTGCTCTTTCTGTGGGTACACCTCAAAACATGGAGTGTGTATGATGAAGTGTGTATTCTGGGCAGATACTTTCATCTTAGGAGGCTCTGGAGAGTCATAGGGAAGGGCTAGACTTAAGTAGATCCTGCATGGCCACTTCTTCTCAGAGCCCAAAGAAACTTAGGCATCAAACCCTTAAGCTGCATTGCCCCTGAGGAAGAACAGGAGAGATGTGGCAGGCTTCTTGGACCTTGTCAGCAGTCCAGTGGCATTGAGAAGGGACTTGGGAGTGTGCCAGCCTGTAGTCCTAGACCTGCCAAAGAGGAGAGGAAGCATTGGGGTGGATGAAGAGTTGGGTTCCTGGATTCCCACACTCCTGTGGCATGAGCCATTGGGGCCTTTGTTGCACTGACCTTTTGGGGACAGTGGTCCCTGTTCAACTGCCTGTAATTGGTTTTTAAGTAAAATCTAAGGATGATTGATTGGTTCCACATGCTTTCTGGTCCTGAGATCTATATCCCACTTATTTACCACCTCCCTGCCTTCCAAGAAAGCACCATCCACTTGGCAATTGCTTGATTTTTTTTCAAAAACACCATTTTAATAAGGAAACAACAGAAATAAAAGGTTGTTCTCTGGCTGGAGCCCAGACCCCATATAATACATTATATGTACAAATTGCCCTTCAGCCAGCCCTGGGGCTCTCTTCATTCATTGTTCCATGCCAAATTTCTGGCTCTCTGGACCTCTGCTCCTCTCCAGAATATACCTACCTATTCCCCTTATGCCATTGTGGCAGGAAGAGGGACTAGTGGGAAAGGGAGTGTTTGTAAGAGCCAGATACACATCAGGGGAAGCGCTGCCTCTCTTCAGGATATAGGGCTGCCAGGGAGCAGTGGGGTCTCCTGCTTTGGTGTGGAGCATGTGTACCCAGTGAAGCCCAATCTGAGTTTGGGGTAGAGTCTCTGAACCCCTTTAGAGTCCCTTAGAATTATTGCCTCTACCAGAATGGAGCAGGAGGCAGAAATGTCCATTTCTGGGGCTTCAGAGACCTCCCTGAGGGGCTGATGTTGGCATGCCAGGACTGCCCAGAGGTCACCATTTAGAGCAGTTTTGGCCACTAGTGATGGCCCTGTGAGGAGCACCCTGGTGCAGTTTCTACCACCACCTGCCTGGCTGGAGAGCCCTACATGCCAGGGATGGATAGTGGCCATATGGAGAAAGGTTCTCCTGCTCTGTCTATGACTTCCAGGCAGGAAGGTCAGGAGGATGCTGGCTGTTGATGATGTGCTCCAGCTGTGTTCTACTCAGTCAGGTACCCCCTGACTTGGGCAGTGGTGCCAAGAAAATAGGCCACGATGGGCACTGCAGGCAGGGAAGGGCACAACTTCGTGAGGGATTGGTGGCATCTCTTCCCAGGTGGTATGTACAAGAGATGGAGGGACAGCAGAAAGCCAGAAGGCCTGCTGCTGGGCTGTGATGCAGGGCTGAGTGAGCTTCCCCAGGCTACCCCCGCCTAGATGGAGACTTCATATTCTCTCATCTCCTGCAAAGGAAAGAGACTGCTGGGAGTTGGAAACTTGTATAAGATTTGCCAGGCCCCAGTCCACCTTCCCAAGGAAAAGGGAAAAAGAGAGGCTTTGGTGGGGCCCTCGGGAGTATCTGCCCGAGGGAGCAGAGAACTGAGTCCTGGATAAGGTGTCAAGGCTGGCATGGGTACTTACTCCAGTCTCATAAGTTGGATTGTCAAATGCTGACTCCACGGTGATGCGATTATAGGGGCGAGGATGTGTTCGGGGCAGCTTCAGGGGGCTTTTCCCCTGGAGCCTATGGGGCAGAGAAGTTTGTAAGTCAGGAGTGCAGGGAAGGAGTGAGGTATGCAGAACAGGAGGAGAGGTCAGACTTACCTGGAGAAGTAAAGGTACACACCTCCCACCAACAGCCCCATTGCTACCAGTGGCAGGAAGATGGCAGCTGCAATGTGGGCAGCATCCAGGGCACTGGAAGTAGCAGGTGCCTTGGCAACTGAAAATACAGAGGCTGGGATTGGAGCAAAGATCCTGTCACCTGAAACCCACTTCCCCTCACCTATGCCCAAGGCCAGCCCGATACCAATTTCCTGTAGCTGGCTGGGGTTAGAGAAGGAACTTTTTGCCCTGGTAGGCCCAGACCTCTTTCTCTGCCTTCCATCTGCCATGAGAACCCATGGCTTGGAAGTTGTGAGAGCCAGGTACAGGGAGAGCACTTCCCTAGCTCTCAAGGGCAAGAACTCACCATCCAGGCTACGGCTGCTGTAGAACCCATCCAGAGAGGCTGGAACAAGAGGGGAGGGCCAAGGACAGTGGGTGAGCCCAGTGGGCCAAACCACTAATTCAAGGAAAAGAGGTAGTGGGCTGATCATGGGAAGGGTCTGTCCAAGGAGAACCTACTCCAGAATTTATCTTGATGATGCCAGGTCAGAGACTGGGAAAACTGAAGGTAACATGAAGGGGGCATGGAGGTGGTTCTGGTTCTCAACACTGGACATCTTTGCTAGAGCAGTCCACCAGGGTTTGGGGGGTAACAGGGCACTCACCAGCCCTACAGATGGGTGGCGGGTCACTCCAGTGTGAGGGGTGCCCAGGCACACACTTAATACTGGCCTGGCCTTTCAGCACATAGCCAGGGGCACATGAGAAGTGGACAGTGGCCCCTGCTGGGTGTAGCCGCTTCTCAGGACTGCGAGCACCATTCTTGGGGGCACTGAGGCCATAGCATGGCTTGAGCTGTTCCACTGTAAAGGAGGCAGAGCCCAGTGAGGATTCCAGGTCCCTGGGCCAGCATCTTTTATCCTCCCTGCCTATCCATCTGGTACTTACAAAGACATTTGGGAGCCCGGTCACTCCACTTGGGGCTGCCAGCCTGGCGGTCATGGCAGGTGAGAATGGCACTGCCCGTCAGCACAAAACCCTGGTCACAAATATACTGCACGGTTGCTCCCACAGGAAACCTGGGGCTGGATATGAGGCGTCGGCTGTGCTCTACGTCCCCAGGGTCATGACAGGAAGTCACTAAAGGTGGGGAATGATGAGCAGAAGTAAGTCAAGGAGGACTGAGCAAGGGCCAGACCACCATGGTTTTGTTCCAAGCTAGCTAACAGCTTCACATTATATGGCTCATCCCCCTAATAAAGTGTTTCTACCATTTTCCTGGTGTGTCCCCTCCCATTTATTAGGGTTAACAAACCCATTTGTCCCTTTCCCATTTATTAGGGTCAACATTGATTTGCTATCAACTAGGAACAAAATACTTGGAGTACTTGGTTGATAATGTTATGAAAACATATCATCTCCATTTCATGGCTGAGGAAACAGACTAAAAGAGGTAAAAGAATTTCAAGGATACCACTAACACATTGAGGACAGCTCACTGGATTCTCTCAGAACCCAGGAATGAGGCTCAGAGGTTGTGTTGGGCTGGGGAACATGGGAAATGGATACTTACCCCTCTGGCATGAAGGCAGATCCTCACTCCAGCTTAGGTCCCACTGGCACATGAGGACACTGGATCCCACCACCTGGTACCCAGGGTAACACTGGTAAGTGACTACAGTGCCGTGTACCAGCTCAGGCTGCGATGGGTTCTTCCAGCCATTGGGGATCTCAGGCAGCTCTGGACATGTGTCATTGCGGGGCACCTCTGTGGGCACAGAGGTGGCAAGATGCAATCTGGGCTAATTGTAAAGTGACTGTGATAACCCTTTCACCCTGAGGGCACCCTGCCAGGTTGTCCTAGGCTCAGACTGGCCTAGATGGGCTCAGAGATTCATTCCTCCCTAGTCAAGGACCTCTCCTTGTCCCAACATCTCTCTGTCTCCTAGATTCCAGGGTTAGCATCTGGGCTTTGGCTTTACTTTCAAAAGCACCTTGGCAAGTTCCTTAGGCCTGAGGGATGAGACCAGGTAGGGTGAGGGAAGTGATCACTTCTACTAAAGAGTGTCAGATAGAAACCAAAATGTTTCCTTAGTTCCCTATTTTCATTAGGAAGCTCTGCGGCTGCTTCTCCAAATCTCATGCTGCAACACAAGGCTCCTTTTCTCTGGTGATACCTGGAGCTTTTCCAGATTTTCCTTGTCAGAAGGAGCACTCCAGCTCCTCACTGCCCTGGCCTCTTTGACTTGCCATGGATTGGGGTCTGCATTCTGAGTGAGGCAGGGACAAGCTCACCAAAGAAGTGGATGACAAATCCTTGCTGGTAACTCAGCACTGAAGTCCCGGGGTCTGACTGGAACTGGATGGTGACATCAGCCATGGAGGTAAAAAGCTTGAAGTGGCCACGTGGCCCTGAGTACTGGCCCAGGACCCGGGCTGTCAGGTCATCCCCATCATAGAAGGTAAGTACATCACCAGGACCTATGCGCAGCCTGTGGAGGAGGACCATCAGGGCAGGGCAGGGCAGGCCCCAGGATGGGCTGCATAAGAGATGTGACCAGATCTCAAGAGTTGGCTTGGCCTGACCCAATAGTCACTCACACTCGGATGTCCAGCATGATGCGCTTGTCCTCTTCCACATGAACACCCCAGATGCAGTCCTGCCCTCGGCCATAGGGCTCTGGCCAGTTGGGGGAGAGTACTACACCGGCTGAATCTGTGATCTCCCCACTGCACACGGCTGGAAGGCAGGAGAGGCCTGGGAGGATGTCTCCTCTGTGTTCCCTCCAGTTCCATATCCTGGGGCTGCCACCTGCTTACAGGAGTACCCATCTATTGCTGGGAACCCCCACCTCTTCCTCAGGGTGAAGGCTGAATCACAAATGTCACAAGGCCCCTGTGACCCCAGGCTCTGCAGCTGACTTGCTGGTGCCCATCCCACTTACTGCCCCAGGAAGCTTACCCACTGGTATCTACTAACCTCGGCAGGCTGGCTCTGTCTCATTCCACTGTGGGTCATGGGGGTCAACACACTCAATGATGATAGAGCCCTGCTCCAGGGTGTAGCCAGGGTCGCAGCTGAACTCCACAGTGGTACCCACAGGGTATGAGGGTGCGCTGCTGCTGAAGTTGCCGTATTTGACAAAGGGCTCATAGCAGTGGCCCTGCTGGAAGGCTGTAAACCACAGGGCCCAGCCTGGCTCAGCCGCGACTGGGATAAATACAGAGAGCAGGCATCCTCCTGCTTCCCCCTCTCCAGGGCCTTTCTCTTCCTGAGTACAAACATATGTCAAAGGCTTGGAGCTGAAGGTGGGGGAAAATAGCCCCGGGCATCCATCCCTATTATGCTCAAGAGACCATCTTAATCACTATTGTATTCCCACTGGCTAGTTTTATGCTTACTACAAAAGGCCTCAATAAATTTTTTTTTTATTAAAAAAAATTAATGAATTAATGAATATAAGCATGCATGGGTCTAGAGTATTCCTTAACAATTCCTCCTCAAGCATTGGGGTCTTTTTTTGCTTTGAAAACCTGGAGAATTCATTCTCTTGGACCAGAGGGCCTGGATCTAGACAAGGTTCTCCTGCAAAGATGGGGTCCTGGTCCTGGGTGAAGGGTCAGGGAACAGAGGCCAACTTGGAAGGACTGATGGAATGGAGGCACAGAGGAGGAAGGGGTAGGAGAAAGACCGTAGCACTCTGCTCCCCATCAGGCTCTGGAAGGCTCACCTTCATAGCGCAAGGCCATGCCAGCAGCTGCCCCGCTGCTATCTGTACTGAGTTCCACAAAGAAGTGTCTGCCAGAGCTGAGCAGGCCCTCAATGGGCAGGTATTCCACCTCGTAGGAATCATACACAGGCGGGGCCTCCACATTGTCCCCATTGCGAATGATAAGCCTGGGCCAGGAGAATGGTAGCTTTGTGGCTGGCTGCTGACCCAGGTGGGTATGGCCCCAGGTTTGGGGAGCACCCCTGCAGCAGGATATTACCACGTCAGGCACTCCCATCCCATCAGGGTAGCCCCTCACCTGTCATCATCTTCTGCCAGAGCGACCTTCTCAAAGTGCAGGTGCAGCCTCTGACTCTCAGGAGCCTCAAGTAGCCAGTGGCAGGTGAGGTTGTTGCTGTAGTTGCCGGGATAGCCCGGAGAGACAATGCGGCCAGTTGTGGCATTCCGGATCACTCCACCACAGGCAGCTGTGAGACAGAAATGCACTTAGGCTGGGTCCCTCACTGTATCCTAGGCAATCCTTCCTCCCATTCCAGCCTTGTGCCCTCTGTGTGGGGCAGCAGGGACTTTTGTCGCCTTGCCAACTTTGCTGTCATGGTCCTGAAGGTCAATCTTTTAGCCCTATGATCCTGTAGCTCAAAGCAGCCTGGACCCCAGCACTGTACCTCCTAACTGTTCACATACCTGAGATTTCATGTGCAGCTTTTTTGACTATAAATAGGCTTGTCACTGCCTAGTCCCATGGCCTAGGATCAGCTACTTTCCTTCTCTGATGACCCTCCCTCCCAGGAGGCCTTCCCTTACTCTTCCCAGGCATATTTTATTAAAGTCTTTCCTCTAGATTCCAACCTCCTTGGGTATTTCTATCTTTGCCTCATGCTACTTTCTTTCTTTCTTTTTTTTTTTTTTTTGGTACTGGGGATCGACCTGTGGACCTTGCACTTTCGAGGCAGGCACCGGAACCACTGAGCTAAA